ATATGTACTCTGCAGAATGCAGACAGCTGAGAGCTGACTTGCACTCGCAACTGTATACTTAGTCTCCGATTATTTAAAGATTTTGTTCGATAACAAGACACTTTTCTCATGTCATCGAAAACTGCGTCATAATAAATACAAGATAGTATGTTTTTTACACCTTACGGGTTATTTATATAAGTGCAGCAGTAGGTTGTATATCGCGTAAGCTTGCATTTCCTATCTAACCCGTCTTAAAACTACGATTTTGTAAGCATGATTTCTTACAATTTTCATCGTCAGCCTTAATTTTTTTTATACGAATAGAAAGATGGGAATTCAAAGAATATAATTCAATTTTATTGACCTCGGTTGGGTTATTTATAATTTGAACATTGAGGCCACTGGAGCCACCTTAATAAGGGCACTAAGTACTATGGGCACTTAGCACTTAGGAAAGGGATGGAAGGCCTCCCATTACTGGGAAGGGGGTAGGGGGAATTAGGTAATTTTGCTGCGAGGAGGTCGCCTAAACCCTCCTCGAGGAGCATTGTGTGGTGAAAAAGCGCATGTGAAAAATCACAGAGGTACTTGCCCGAAAAAGTCGCACTGGCCGGGAATCGAACCACGGTCTCCCCCGCGTGCCAATCCACGACCTAGCCGACTCTGCTGCAGCTGCCAGCCTCTATGTAATCGTTAAAAAAATGTGCGCAGCACCGCATCAGACGTTACTAAATATTTAAAAATAAGTAAAAATCTTGTGCTACTACTTACTTTAAAACATAAAAGTTAATAATTAAAACATTAAACTTAATAAACGTTGTAACAAATAAATTCTGGAGGGTTTCGGCTATACGTATAGGTCAAACGTAGCTGATTTCAACTTCACGGTTTATTAAAAAAATTATTCACTCAGAGTGAATTATATTTAATGTTCTGCTGAAAATTTCAGGGATTCATCAATTAATAAATAATATATGAAGTCCACAAAATTAGCGAAGTTTAAGTTATTAATTTTTTTTTGTCATGTTACAACTTTAAAGCGATATAGTTATAAAACGGTAACTGTATGTACACTTCACAAATCTGAAGGGACTGCCTGAATCACGCTATTTTTGCTAAACAATATTAAATTTTTACAATATAATTGATAATCGCTTTTTATACACACGTGTAGAGGACAAACTATGAGTACTAGTTCGTAGATTCTGTACATTTTTCAAATCTTATTTATGAATATTGAGCTAGGGTATTCAATTAAAAAATTGAGCCGTGAAAATTTTTTACTTGTACTAAAAAAATACACAATGTTTGATTGAATAACTAAGATCTTGATTTCAAGAGAGACAAGATTACAGTTGTATCTTTGCAGTGTTAAAAGTGTTAAAAGTATTTACAATTTCTTTTTTAGTATAAATATTGCCAACTAATCTTCTTGAAAAAGGATACAAGTAGGTAATTTTTTTTGTACACATATAATTGCAACTACTTATGTATTCCTTACTTCAGATGTGGCTTTGATAAATATATTAAATCATGTTTAATTTCTTAACAAAAGTGCTGGGTGATGTAAGCGTTTTAAAAACTTTTTTCCATTACAAAAGCATCAAAAGACTTAAACGAAAACAACAAGTTGACACTTAAATAACAAACCTTACTTAGTATCCTTAAAATTCGAATTTGGATGTTGGTAAAAGATGTCAGAGCTCGCTGACATGCAATTAAGGCGAAACACAAAAATAAACTTTTCATTATTAATTATAAATATAATTTGTTCCATAACTACAGTGTATGATACAGACAGATATTTTCTCGGTGATAACGTGAAAATTTTTAATACAGCTTTCACTTTCTTGTCAAACATATCGTAATGTGAGTCGATAAAGGAATAATTGTTAGTTGATTTTGTTCTCAAAAAAACATATATTGTAATGCTAAAAGTATCAAAAAATGAGTAAAGTTCAGAATAGTAATTACTCATCTAGTGAGGAAAAATGAAGAAAGTCTCATATCACAAGCATTTGACGTATGAGGTAAAGCCGAGGGTGACAGAAATTTTATCTGAGGCTCTCTTCGTTTCCTTCCGTGGGTTGTAATTATTTGTTGAATTCAAATCGAATAATATATAATACCAACATCAATTTGGAAAATTACTTAAGTTATAGTTTTTTAAAAGTTAGTGATGGTTAACCATTTTGAAAAATTGTTAAAATTTAAGTAAAAAAGCATACACTTCAGATTTTCAAAGATTGTAAGTTCATGTTAAAAAAATGATTGCTGAATTTGTATATTTAGCGCATAAAAATAACCTTTGAATAGATCAAATAAATTACAGGTAGCGATGATTTTGTACTGCTTGTCATGAAAGAATTTGGGAAATAATTTTGCATACAATATTTTTAATACCGAATTTTTTATTTTTTTATTTATTCGGAATAGCAAAACAAATGCCGCACGCAACTATTGATAAATGCACAAATATTCTACATTTAACAATAAAACATGAGAACTATTTTGTAAATAAAGTGGCATTTTTAATTACGTGAAAAAGTCTCAAAAATTGCGCTTGGTATAACATAGCTCGTGTAAAAATTTCTTCGTCATTCGAATTCTGTGATTTTGTTAATTTACAATTGTGCGAATATATGTGTTTCAAGCATAACGAACTCTTATTATACATACGGATATAAACAAAGATTGCTTACTTTTACAAGCAACAAAATTGGAATAATGTGTGTGTACCGGTGGGAGCGAGGCGAAACTTTTTTTTTTTAGTATGCTGTTTCAAAAGGCCATTTTGAATAATTTTTATTTGAAATAAAAAGCTAAACAGGTAAAGTAAAACTAGTGTGAAATAATTAGTAATAATAAAAAGTCGATTTAAACTATTTTTTGCATGACATGGAAAAAAAAAAAAAAAAACATGAAACAGTTAAAAATTCAACATGAAACAAAGAGTTCGAGAAATTTATCTGTTATGTATTTCTCCAACTCTCTTTTCTTTCCCATAAACTGTACTTTATTCGCACGATTATTTTTTATTGTGTAGCGATCACGCGACTGCTCATATTGAATGGCATCAAAAGGATTTCGTTCGTTTATTTTTTTGCTTTTTTTTATTGTTCATGATGACAAAATAACGACTCTTTATCGGTCAGGCTTCGTTGCAATATGCATAATGCATCGATTGTTTTTTATTTGGCTGAAAAATAAAATAACTTCTCTTTCGAAACAATTACTAACTAGCTTAATACTGAGAGCACCTCTCAGCATAAATTGTAACGTATGAGGATCATGTATCCACGTGAATTTTGAGCGCTTTTTCCCTTCTCGCGTAGGGAACACCAGTCAATGGATTGGAGTAACGCTCTCGTTTGTAATACCAATCGGTCTTATCGTTTTCTTCTTTCGGAATTTCCTTTGAATCCCTAAAAAGTTAATCACATACGTTTTATCAATACTTTAGCTTTGTAAAGTGAAAATGATTTTATGTTTACTTTTAACGTAATTCAAACTAAATTTAAAATTGCATCATCGCACAATAGAGTAATAAAATTCAATTCTCTATTGATAGCAGTAACATAATCAAATCATTTACTTGAATCATAGTAAAACAAATTTTTTTTTACTACGTATAATCGACAGTATTAACGTAAAAATTATACTCATAAATCATACGATCAAAACTTTGAGATTTGTTCGAAAAAGTTGAAAAATTAAAAAAAATGGAGTAAAAGTTGACATGTATACCTGTATATGACGTAAGTCCTAAAATCTACTTCTGGCAGCAAAACTTCTGTTTTCCATTCAAAGTTATCCATTTTCGTCAGCGTAAGTTCTTTTTTTACAACTTGCAAATTAAATTCCAAACATTCCTCAGAGATGCTTGATATCTCTGACACCTGCGAGCAAAAAATTATTTGTGTAACAATGTAAAAAAAAATTACGAGTACAACGAGTTGTACTGTGTACGCATACATACCTGCTTGATCAGATCCTTGCTAAACGTGCTCTTGGGAACACTTATCTCTTGGGGATCATCAAGCTGCATTTTGGAGCGGTTCCATCGTCTCACGTAAACTTGAACATGATTCGACGACTCATGATTGTCACTAGGTGGTAACACTTGGACGCATATGTTGGTTATGAATCTGACTGGCATTTCGGAATCTTTTAGTTCCTCGCTCACTGTGCAGCTCCCATTGACTTCGGCAAAGCGTAACCTTTCGAAAGGCACGTCAACACAGCCGATTTTTCGTAGCTCCGAGTATATCTGGTGCTTTGCTAATCTAATGCAACAATTCATATTTACTCCAGTTTCTAGTAACTTTTGCAGAGCCTGTGAAAGGGAAAAATTTCATCTTAAGCTTTTTTTCAACACAAAAACTTTCCGCGGCTTTTAATTGTTAAAATTACACATGTACCTGCGAGTCACCCATTCTTAAGGCAAAAATCTCTATAGAATTTTCGTTGGGCTGAAGTACTCGTCCCAGAGTAATTGTATATTTTCGATCATCTCGGAATACCGTTACACCAGGTTGAGAACAATATGGGCTGTCAGGTGGGGATACAGTAACTTTGAAATAATTCTTAGGGACCTTTATGTACGGCTCTAATCTTTCTTTTAACTCATATTCGGTCATTTCTTTGTCCTTCGTAACAAGCCACACTAAAATAAAAACATATAATAAAATACTGAGGACTGTTATAATTCATCAATTAATGTATTCTCTACAGTTATATCTTTTGTCAAATTATGTCCTATATCCTACATCATGTAGCCTATATGTTATAACAACTCATGTAATAAAGCCCTAAAATTAACACAAATTAACAAATGTATTTAACCACTGTACCAATGAGCTAGAGCTTAGTTGCAAAATACATGTATACAAGTATAAAGTGTAAAAATGTATGATATACGGAAAAATTATAAATGCTTGATGGTGCGGTTACAACAATAACAATAACAATAACAATAATGATGATGATAATAATAATAATAATAATGATAATGATAATAATAGAAAGTTTTTATATTTTTATTTTGTACAAAAAAATAAGTAATATGATTGAAACATACCACTGAGGTAACAAAAACAAAAAGCACGCGTTTACAAAGATAAGAATAGCAAACTGAGAAAGACAGTGGCTTGAAAAAGGTGTAACGTAAGCATAAGACTCGTATGAGTTATATACTTGAGACTAAGTTAGAAAGAAAACTTACATATTTATCATATGCAACAAATGTAGAGTAGTAACACAGTACGGAACAGGTTTTTAGAGCTCATCAAAATTATGAAATACGATAACTAAATGAATTAACGAATTCATAAATATTGTATAGAATGTCAATGTAATCATTCAATTTAGATTTCTAATTGAAAAAAGTTATAAGAACATGTTATGAAACAAAAAAAATAGGCATACAAGTAAATTGCTCAACAAAGCTCTTTGAATAGTAACATAATATATTCAACAACAAAAAATTTCATCTAAGATTGTATGAATTTTGATGTACCAATACTTACGCTTTTCTTTTTTCAGATACTCAATTTTAAATATGACGTCACACGCCGGAAGTGCACCATTAGTCGTTTTGTTAAATAACGGCTGTTGGGTATCAAAGCTTTTAGTAGAAACGTAAGATTGCGCTTCTTCATCGAGCATGACAGCATTTTCAGTTACGTCTTCGTTCACTATCGTTTTGTCACTATCACTTAAACTACTATCCTCACTATTGCTCGGCTCGCCATAATTGAAATTCCACAAGTTGCCCCTGTCTTTGTCATGAAGTATAAATTGGCTACTCACTGCGTCGATACCCTCGCACGAAGTTGATTTACTTTTGTCTGGTGAAACGTGAATTTTTGAGAGTTCCTCGGAAAGATGATTGTGGTTGGAAGCACTGTCTCGACTCTTTTCTTCTACATAGTAATTTTGAAGTGATGGAATCTTCAGCAAGTTGAGCGTTTCTGTAATTACATGATCAATGTTCAGTAATGAAGGCTGATAAATAAGAAATCAAATGGGCAAAAAAGTTTAATCAAGCAGTACTCACTTTCCGAAACGTTAGATGAATCAATATAAAAAGTGACGGTGTCTATTAGGCGCGAGCTCATATCTAAATAGTCTGAATACTGAAATTTTTTTTCCTTACAAGTATTGTAGAATTCCGTAGCAATCACCTTATATGGATAAGTTCCACTAATGTTTCCTTCAAACTTTTCATCGTCCTTCATTAGTTCATTCGGCAAAATTTCCGGAATCATCAACTGTACAACTTCTGGATCTATGTTAAAGTATTTTTTTAGCTGTTGTTTGTACTCTCGAATAGATTGCTCAGCGTATGCTCTTACGTATTTTGGACCATCGATCAATTCATTTTCTTTAGGATTTACCAAGTAAACCTGTTGGTACATTTCAAACGGATAAGTTACTGCAATTTAAACTAAAATTCGTTTTGAAAACTACTTATGCAAGTAGACATGATTAAAACAAAAAGAAGAAATGATCTCAATTAAAATCTAGATCCTTTTAAAATTGTATTTTGTAAGTTAAAAAGCTCGAGTTACCTTTGTGACGATGGGATCGGACGGATGAGGTTCGAACTCTTCGTTGGGTTGTACTACTTCTAGCATCAGATCCTTGATCGGATACTGGTCCATGTATGTATCGATCCGCATGTCAGAATGCAGCACTCGCTCAACGAGATTATATTTTTTATTGTAATAAACAATACGTATACGATCGGGATCGGGTGAGCCTTTAAAGTCGGCTTTTTTGAATGCCATCGCAGCTATCTGGCCAACAGTATGAATCAGCGGTCCGCTGACTACAAGCTCTAACTGATCAAGCTCTTGATCTTCAGGCCGGCGGAACAATATGTCTAACCTTATTTTCTGCTCATGGGTCTCTAGCTCTCCATAATTGTTATCCCCTTCACACCTAAGAGTCATCCTCTCCACCAAGCTCTGTAAACACAATCACAATACTTGGTCAATGCTATTATTGTTAATACTGAGATATCAAGTTATTAATTAACTGCCAGACTCTGCCTACTTATTTCAAGTGACACACGTGATTGTTAAAAAAATTAATTTATTACCTTCAAATGTGGTGGGAAGTTTTCCGCTTCGATCGGCAAGACGTTGCGTTTGTTATCGATTTGCCTGTACATGAGCATGTATGCATTTGTACTACTACGATATTGACTACTGTAATATAGAGTTCTGCCACTTCCGCCACCATATGTATTTTGAATGTCTTTTTCTGTTATCTAAATTAAAAGAAAAAATACATTACCATGGTTGAAATCTCTTAAAACTCGAAGTTACGAATATTGTCAAGTTTTAGGAAATAAAAGTTTCTACATAAAATTTTATTGAAGCAGACTTACAGGCGAAACTCTCTGGTCATCGAAGCACCACCACTTATTATTTCTAAAATCTTTTATATAAGCATAATAATGGCCACCATTCGCGCTGCCACTATGAATCATAATACAGAAAAGCTCATAGATGTACGGTCCTATCGCTTTCGCATAATGTTCACGCATCTTGTCGATGTCATTGTAAGCCGATAATCCATTGCACATTTCGATACCTGCATTTAGAAAAAATAAGTTGAGGTAAAATCAGTCAATTTGTTTTATATAGTAGTTATTAAGATTCCGCGGATACCCAATGCAGGATTTTTACGTATCGTATGTCCCTATACCTTCCTTATTTTTTAAAATTAACACAAATTAACAAATGTATTTAACCACTGTACCAATGAGCTAGAGCTTAGTTGCAAAATACATGTATACAAGTATAAAGTGTAAAAATGTATGATATACGGAAAAATTATAAATGCTTGATGGTGCGGTTACAACAATAACAATAACAATAACAATAATGATGATGATAATAATAATAGCACATGTGCAGTGATGTTCAATCATACAATGATATTCGTTCGCGGCCTCGTATGTGCCTATACCTATAGTTGAAACATCTCGAAATCACCAGACTCGGATCTTGAGTGTGCGAATCTGACAAGTTCAAGACTTTGTGNGAGTTTTTCCGGCTAGGAGGCTAGCACGCTAACCACGAAGCCATCGAAGTTCTTCTTTTTTTTATATACATACATTGAAGAGAAAAGTAAAAAGATATTTGGAAAATCTTGGAAACATGTTTTAATATAATTTTCATCACCTTCACCTTCATCATCATCTTGATCGTGATTGCTGTTTGACAAATGATTACTGTTGTTGGATAATGGCATATTACTCGACTCCTCGCGTGCATCAGTGCTACTTTCGTCAGCAGCAATATCGACACCCTTTCCATTACTCTCAGCATCGTCTTGACTAGGAGTTTCTTGATTGGATGCGATAAACAAATTTAAATTCAACTTGTCTGGAAACGTTACTCTAAAAAAAAAAAAATTTTATCAATTAATAAAAGGATGATGAAACAATAAACAACTTATTTTGCATGATTCATTATTTAGTTCTTAGTAGTTAATGACGCTTGAATTATCGGATTTTTATAATACCTTTATTATGTAGTAAAAAACATTATCACGATTTTTTTTTTAATCAAAAAATTTTTTTGTCATTTCCTTAGCTCAAAATATTTCAAAGGAGATGTCTTTCTTTTTAAGCACTAATTAAAGCATTGACTAATCTTACCTAGTTAGAAAATAGTAAACGCGACATATTAATCATAAAAACTTTATTGAAATAATTGTTTTAAACGAAAATAATATTCGAAAGAATTTTTCACAACGTGGTATCACTAAATTTAAATGTATCATCAACTTACTTGTCATTCAACTTGATCCTATGAAAAGTATTGTGGTCAAAGTCAAAACGTTTTAATTGCAACGTAAGAATATACGGAAATTTAGAAAACTTGAGTCCTTTATGTGCATTAGATTTCTTATTACATTTCTCACAAAAATATTGATTATTTCCTTCTAGTGTTTCATACTTAATGAACGCTTCTAATGCTTCCTCCTAAAAATTTAAACTTTGTTTATACAATCAATTTTTAGTGTGTATGTTGTTTTAAAGGACGAATCACAACATACCACGCTACCGTACGTGACACTACCATCAAAGGATCTTAACGGTAAAGGAATATCAAGAAAAGAATCTTCTCTAGATTTTTCCAAATTACATGTTAGGCACTTAACATAATCAAGGATTTTTCCTGGAAATAATTTTATATGTGAAATATGAGTTAAAAAATGTGTCATATAAATGACCTACCCTCATAAAGTCTGTTGATGAAATCAGGATGTTTCGTGGTTTTAAAAGTTTTTTCTAAGGCATCAAACATAACACGACACAATTCTTGAATATCATGCTGATTCCAAGCTTCCGTTGAATCCCATCCAAAACTTTGAGTTAGTGCAGTTGTTTCAACCGACCTTCCTGATGTCTATGTATGAGGAATTTGATTAGGTCTATTCAAATCAACTTACTTAAAATAACCATATTTGTAATACCTGTAAGTTCAAAAAAAGTTTTTGTAGTTGAAACGGAATATTTGTTGCTTCTTTTTCTGTGCCTGTATATTCCCATGTGTACAGAGCATTTCTGAATTCCGGTGTCATGTATAGTGCTTGTAAAAGACTGTTGAGGTAACATGTCATTGCTTGATTTACTAAGCCAACAAAGTCTAAAACAACACAAGTTCAGATTGTAATAATATGATACAATCGTTAAGATAAATATGTTTTAACTGTGTACTTATAAAATTATGTATGCTCATACTTTAATTTCTTTTTTTCCTACATTAAATTCTAGTTTAAGCTCAAAATATTTAGTAGTTTCAGAAATCCTACTTTGAAATTTCATCTTTAACAACTTTTGATATTATTGTCGCAATAATAATGCAAGTTATAATTCAAACAAGTTAAAAATGTTTAGCAACTAAGTATAGTGCTAAATATGTTGTATTAATTTTTATAATTTTTCATAACATAAGAATCACTGAGATTTGATAGCCTTATGATTTCGATATTTACAATTTGCAATGAAGTAAAATCTTTCTAAGTAAATACATGTTTCAGCTGTCGACTTATTAAGTATGCAAGNGGTATATTCATCAAGGTTTAAAAGAAAATTATATTTATTTTTCTTTTTGTATGAAATTCGAGAAAAGCTGTCTGGAAATAATCAGTCTCTGAATTTGTGCAGTTCCTTCGTAAAGATGATAGATTTTGGCATCCCTCATTAATTTTTCTACTGGATATTCTGAATTAAAGCCAGCTCCGCCAAACACCTGCAATGCAATTGTAATTGAATGATTCAAAGTCGATTGGGCATAATTTTGGCTTATGAACTAAGTATTTATTTTATGAACTTTTTTGTAATCAATCATACGTATTCTTAATACATCTCCCTATTCACGAAATATGAAAATAAATATATTCGTAAAAAATTCTAGTAATCATTTTCTACAATAAGCTCGATTAGTTATTTTAATTGATAAAACCGGTTGTTTGCAGAAATATTTCATTAAACATGTAACAAATATCTTGGGCGATCATATATGGAGCTAAAACTAACCCTAGCCAAAAGCAATAGTCACACCACGGACGAATTGCACTTCCGGGTGCTCCGAGGCTCAAAGGCAAATATATGAAACCAATTTTTTTTTTTACGAATTTCTACGAACAAAGCACGAATTTGTAGTTCTTTTGGAAAAATCGATTCATAGTATGGTAGAATTAGCTAAAAATCATATCGATATCCCGAAAACTCTGACTAGCTCGAAAAAAAATATGGTAGTAGTTTCAATGCATAGTAACAAGTTGTCACAGAACTTAACAAATAGACATGTCAGCCAAAGTCCCAAAAAAATGGCAAAAATGGCCAAAACATGTTTTTTCCATCTAGAAGAAAACCGAAGAATCACACATAAAAAAAAATTGTGTAAAAAAATGCACAATTTTAATACCAACATCAGAAGCCGTGTTGAGTTCAAATCAGTTTAGCCATTTTTTCGCAAATCGCAAAAATTGCAATTTGAGCCATTTTTTCGAAATTTAGTAACTCACGTTCTATACAATATTGAGAGCTAAAATTTTAATACAAGGTAGATATTAAAGTCCCTAACATACACACAAACTTTCAGTTTGATCGGTTTTAAACTCTTCGCGAATCGCAGCAAAAACCGACAATAGGTCCTCTCCAAAAATGGCCATAAAAAAGTTGTTAGCTAATATAGGTATATTTTCCAAACGTATTTCGCTTTGTCTATATTTACTACACAAGTACCTAAAACGCCGTTTGTTTTTACCGCCGAAGAGTTTAAAATTGTGTGTAATTTTGTTTGTAAGTGAAGGACCATTATATCCACCTTGTGTTAGAATTTTAGCTTTGAATATTGTGTAGAACGCGAGTTATTAAATTTTGTAAAAATGGCTCAAAATAGAAAATTTTTGCGATTTGCGAAAAAACGGCCAAATCGATTTGAACCCAACGAGCCTCATTTTGTTGGGATTGAAATTGCACATTTTTTTACGACACACTTTTTTACTTGCGATTCTTCAGTTTTCTTTTAGATGCGGAAAACATGTTTTGTCCATTTTTTAGGGGCTTTTGCTGGCATTTCTACTTGTTAAATTCTATGTTAATTTATTACTATGCTTTTAAACTACTACCCTATTTTTTTCGTGCTAGTCATAATTTTATGGGTCGAAACACTAATTCTACCATACTAACAATACAAACTTACTAGGCTTGCAGTAACATTTTATATTGTATACATAAGTAAAACGTGTTGTTAACCACTTGTATATCTGTTAATATAATTTTAGCTCATTCACGGATTAATCCACTTAAAAAATAACTGGTATCCAATTTCATTAGTTTTGACATTATTTTTATCCAATTTAATGTATTAAAAAATCTGCATGGCTCGTAAAACTTCACACATGAGCAAAATAAAAATTTTTAATTTTCGCCTCTGAGGTACGACTGTTAAATTTTGTACTAGTGCAAAAAGTGTGCATAAGTATACGAGGATATCCACGAAAAATATCCCATTTTTGAACTTATTTTATTCGTAATGTCATGTAGACACTATGGAGAAAAATTTTGAGCACGGGTTTCAGTGAGGGTGACACCGTTTTTCTGCGATTTACATGCTATTATTATATCTATATAGATAATGTGTATGGATACAATTTTAACATGTAAATTGAGGAAAAAGGGTGTCTCCCTCACTCAAAGTACACGGCATTATGAGTAAATGAGTAAAATGAGTCCGGTTTCAAGGGTGTGCCCTCAAAAAAAATATTATTTTTCCTTAAAGGGGGGATTAAAACGGGATATTTTTTGTAGATTTTCTTAGTTTTAAAATAAAAATCATACACAACATTTATAATAATGTTTGTAAAGTCGTAGTGCATCAAGGAATATAAAAATCTTCAACATTATAGTTCGAAAATTTTTTTTGCGAAATAAATAAAAACTGCGGCCAATTCATTAGTACTTTTATGATCTTAACAGATTGTTTAATATAAAATGTCTTGAAACAGCGATAAAAAGCAGAAAATAGTAGTTTTCGTCGGATAAGTGCCATCGTCTCCGGGGCTATTTTGCGGCCCAAGGGACCTGCGAAGCAGGGCCCGAGGGACGTAAGGTAGCCACGGAGCGATAGCGCTTATGTGGCGAATCCTATTTTTCCTACCGAGGGCACACCAGCCTCTCAAAAACGCCCGAGGTAGGAAAATTTTTTTTTTTTCGTAAAAATCAAAATGAAGAAATACAAAATAATCACAGCTTTGAAACCAAAATCTTTTTTTTCAGTGATGATAAATGTATTAAAACAAGAACAAAAAAATAAGCTATGTTCAATCGAAATCGGTCGCAAGTATTGTAGTATAATTGATACATATGAAGACATAGACACGTAAATAGACGGATATTTTTGCCAGTAAGTTTTCTTTGATTCTATGATTAAGAAAACGTATTAGCATAATATGCAGTTATTTTTTAACGTGATTTTATATTCATTACAAAGCTTTCTCTTAGAGTAAGCAACAAAAATAAATAAATAATAAACTGGGGTGTTACGAAAAAGCCAGTTTTTTATATTAATCAGGTCGGTTAATAAGAAAATTATTGGACACGTAGTTTTCCTTTTTAAACATAAAGAAAAATTGATGAAAATACAAACGTATTAAAGGTATTGGCATTATGCCTCTACCACGTGACCTTAGTATATATATATGACTAATATAGAGGAGAAATAACACAGGTCTTATGGGAGGAATCTTGTTTTTATTTTTTTTCGCACTTAAAAATATATTGAGCTTAAAAAGGTTGTTAATTCCATGTTACTGACATAATGAGAGTTACGTAGTTATTTTTTTCCTTTGATGAATTCGTTCATAAAGGTTGAAACAGCGTTTTGAACGCACACGGAGTGCCGTTTAACCCTACTTTGAGCTGTTTGTTTACCTCTGAGCATCAGCAGCAGTGGCGCAGCAGCAGCAACAGCTGAAACAAACAGCTCAAAGTAGGGTTAAACAGCACTCTGTATACGTTCAAAACGCTGTTTCAACCTTCATGAACGAATTCATCAAAGGAAAAAAATAACTACTTAATTCTCATTATGTCAGTAACATGGAATTAACAACCTTTTTAAGCTCAATATCTTTTTAAGTGCGAAAAAAAAATAAAAACAAGATTCCTCCCATAAGACCTGTGTTATTTTCCCTCTACATTAGTCATGTATATACTGAGGTCACGTGGTAGAGGCATAATGCCAATAGTAGAATTTAAAACCTTGGTGACATCATACACTCGAAAAAAAAGAAAAAGTACGAGTCAAATATTTTTCGATGATAAAATCCATCTGACGTACTAAATGGAATTTTTTCATGAAATGATCCAACTATTGTTTTACGAGGTCATAGTTGAAAATCTGTCAAAAAATTAAATGAGTTTCAATCACCTGAACAGCATCGGTTGCACACTTGTTAGCCACATCTGCAGCGTAACATTTTGCAATACTAGCCAACATACTTTTAGCTGGGTCGTTGTTGTCGAGAGCCCAGGCAGCTTTCATCCAGGCAAGTCTCGCCGTCTCGATACCAATCGCCATGTCCGCCAGCATGAAAGCTACTGCTTGGTGTTCGGCAATCGGCTTGTTGAAAGTTTTACGCTCTAAAGAATACTTTGTTGCTTCATCCAAAGCTCTTTGAGCTAAGCCAACAGCTCCACAAGCGACCTTGAATCAGATAATTATACAATAAGCATTTTTCTCATATACCTACATGTGAGACATAAACTATGTTTTACGGTATTCTGCTCGAAAATTTTAACTTTCTTCATCTTACACACTTGAAGAAAACAAATAGTATGTTACGCACCTAGTGAGCGAGGTTAAGAATGTCGAAGATTTCACCAGAAAAATAATATACGCATCACGTTCGGAGGTTAAGAAATAGATTTGACGTTGATCGCGTTTGTTCACTGGAAATCTAAGACATTCTTAACCTTGCTCACTAGGTGCATATTATACTATTCAAGAAGCTCTCTGAAATGATGGGCGTAGTCTGTTAAGCGCAAAAAATTGAGCTTTCAGACAATAAGGCCAAGAACATCTTACTTTAGTTGTTTTACTACGATTATTGCTAAAATATTTCACTACGTACTTTATTACAAAGTTAGAATCGGATTAATAAAACATAAAATACTCACACTATTCTCGCTTACTATTTAAATATTTCAACAATTTTTTTAGCTATGTCTTCAAAAGGTACGGCACAAATATTACTCGAATGTCGAAAATTTATAGTCAATTGAATTTTTTTATTCCACATTCCTATCTTAAAAATTGATTGTCACGTGATAACTTATGGGGTTATTTATTTAATAACGAGGGTCGTCCATCCTCATGCCTCTTTTAAGGCTCCGTTAATTCTTACTGTTCCATATTAGTAATTAAGGCACATAAAAACATCACAGAGGTACTCGCGAAAAAGTGGCGGAGTGAGGTCTCGAACTCGAATCTTCTAGGTGGTAGGCAAGCGCTCTACCATTTCTTTACTGAGAGATCTCACACAACAGTCTCAACCTTAGAGAATATTCTCTAAGGTCTCAACGCTGCGTGCTGTCTGCTGTGACTTAGGGCTCTCGGGCACATGGAACCGCGTAAAGCGTAAAGCGTATCGCGTATCGCGTAAAATTATAGGATCAGGGAAAGTTAGGTAAGGTACGCTTTAAGCGAAACAATTTGTCATCGCGCACATGGGAGTAAAAAATACGCGCGTAAGTGTTTTTAAACCAATCATAGCGAGTATTTCGTTGGCTTTGCACATGCTGTCTCGCTCGCACTCATGGCAAAAATAAAGTTACGTCCGTATTTTTGTACCCATGTGCGCGATGACAAATTTTTTCGCGTATAGCGTAAATAAAGTATGCAACCTGTAAATACAGTCATCAGCTAATGTCAACAACAACAATTACAGTATCAATTGTGTAATTAATCGAATTTCTGACATGGATGAAAAATAAATCGTAAGAACTTTGGGCAAATTGTGAAAAGTCTATACGACCTATGCAATGACCCAATATCGCAAAGAAAAAGTGAGAAGTGTAATTAAGCTGTATAAAATGTATTAACGGCTCTCAAATAAAAGAAAAAAAGAAGTATACACTTGAAAACTTTTTTTTTGACATATACGCAGGTTAGAATTCACTTGCGTTTAGAACTTCGAAAGCTTTTTTTGTTGACAAGACAGCAGATTGGTCAACTCCCCTATGCTTCACACTTCGCGATACGCGAGGCTTTTACGCCTTTTCTATGTGACCACAAAGTGGTGTATACCTAACCTTCCTTACTTTTACGCGATACGCGATACGCTTTACGCTTTACACGGTTCCATGTGCCCAAGCCCTTAGAACATAGAACATACGAGCTCGGCATTGGCTCAGTTGGTTAGCGTGCTAGCCATTGATACAACACAGCTGAAGGGGTCATGGGTTCGATTCCTGACTCAGAATTTTTCTGATGGTCTTTTCCGAAATCCAATGCACGACACCGACTTAAAATTGAGAATTAGTTTTGAGTTCTAAGCCACAGTTCTCAACCCAATGTATTCAAAACATCTAATATTACTGTACAGCTATAAAAGCCTTTAAGGACTTAATAAAGCTTTCAAAATAAATACACTATGCAAGTAGGTATTCAAAAAAAAAAAAAAAAAAAACTTAGAGCATTAGAACATACGCGGACACGGTAGCACAGTGGTTTAGACTACGGTTCTTGATGCTCGTGGATTTGGTTACACATGCTCACGAATTCGAGAACCGTTCTTTACTCACTTGACTCGCACCTCTGGGAAACTAATTTGTTAAGGTAGCTCTGTCGGTAAACGAATTAACAATGAGAATTTGATGTAAATTTGTGTACTAATGAATAAAGTCATATCAATGACTCTGTCAAAATTTGACAGCACAAGGGTTCCTCGGAGCCGAGTATTTAATATTTATATTTAGCTAATTTTTACATGTAGGCTTATGGGCTGTCGTCTTTTTAAACTCTTCTATTGTATTTACCTCATTTATTAACAATGAACCTTAGATGAAAATTTTATCAATGATAAAAAAATATCTAATGATTGTATTTAATTTTATTGAACATCTCGAAGGTACTAGTGAGAAAAGAAATTAATTAATAACCAAGATAAAAACTACAAAAGGTTGTGTTGCCACAGGAGAGCGAGAAAGACAGACAACATACCAAACTATAGAGAGCGTCGCATGGACTATAGCGAGGGATTGAACCTCCTTAAGTGCAGCGTTTATTCAACTATGGTCCGATGGTTCAGAAACCAAGCCATGTAAAATAAGATGTCTCCATTGCTGAGTAAGTGATTAATATCACAATTAAATCTGAGGCAGTTTTTTAACATTCCAATGACGATAGCATACATGTGTATAGTAAGACAATAATGCAGAGCCGTTATACCGGAAGAAATGTGAGTGTGAGAATTTTGAGATACACGTGTCTTATTTCCGTTATTCTAACCACTTTTTGGCCCATATTCGTCGACAAAACTGTTAGGCATATCGCCAAAAATATAATTCATTTTTGACATTTCAAAATTTGAGTATGCGAATAATCTGATTAAAAAGTAGCGTGGTTATCGAGGCTTCGTCCCTTTTTTAGAAACTTACCTCGTAACACTCCCACGCGACTGGATGTAACTATCGTTTTTTGATTAATTTATTGTGGCATTTAAATTGAAAGATTGCAAAGATTTAATTCATTTATAAAAACTAGCCTTGAAAGCCGTGCGACTAGCAAAGGTTAGTTTGACAACTAATCTTACAACTAACTTCAGCACATTTTATAAAATCTCGGGTTTAATTCGATATAACCGAACCTTCAATTCGATACTAATCGTTATCTCCCTTTTATAATAGGATTCAGAAAGCGAAAAACTGACAAAAATTATTATCTCTTAGGGGAGTGTGATGTGCAAGTTGAATGAAACATAATCATAACAATTATTATAACACGTGAACTGCCCCTTATATAAATAGTATTTTTAAAAAGTAAAATAGGTGGATATCATGAAATGTATAAAGTTTCATTGAAGTAAAAAGAAAAAAAACCAGTGGACAGTGGGTGCTCATGGGAACCCAAGTAAGATGTTACACTTCTATAAAAAAAATTATATGGCAGATAATATAGTTATAAATGTAAATATACCTTCTATAAAATGATATTGTGTACAAAGAAAGTACAATTGCATCGATGAAATGGATATACCTACGTTAGTTAGTGTAATTCGACTAAATATTTTAGTATTTTGTAACTGAACAATTATAAAATTTACATTGTGGCACAATACAATATAAACAGTATGGAGGCTGGCGAGTACAAGACTGTGCACTTAAATCGAATTTTCCGATGGTTTCAAAACAACTTCCTACTGCCTAGACTAATTACATCTCTAACGTCACGCTCACATACTTATTCCTAGTCCATATTTAATACCCAAAATATAATTGTATCTAAAAAATTAAGAAAAACCATCCTGTAGTATCGCTTTCTTTAATAGCATAGTAGTACATGCCAGTGAATGTCCTTTCAGGATGTTCATCGTGCCTTGATTTTTTTTATAGAGATCCTTCAAGCATAAAAAGTATACTCAAAATACCATATAAATACTTACCCTAAAAAAATTGCAGATCGCTTAGTTGTACCCCCTTTCACATGTTTAATTTTAAAAATTTGCATGAAAATTATGAAAATATGTGAAAAAATTGTACATACAATTATTTAAGTATTATAAAAGCAACAAACTCATGCTAAGTAAATAAATGTTTGTTAATACTAATAATAATTGTTGGGGCCGCTCATAGCAGAGTGCGTAGGGGCCTTGGATACTGTGCAAGTGATCGGAGGGTCTTTTTTTTTTTTTTTTTTTTTTTTTTTTTTTTTTTTTTTTTTTNCTATATATTAAAAAATTAAAAAATAAAGATAATGTACAACAAGTTTGATTGAAAATACTTACGGATTTTTGAAGATTCAGTGTCACTGGCAAAAATCGATTCATCGCTTTCATACTTATCAAAGTTTTTGAAAAACTTGTCTTGTCCCACCATTGTTTGAGTAGTGTTTGACAAATCCGTACAGAGTGATTTTTTCATGACAACGGTTCTTTTCTGTTTCATCAAACTTAAAGCATTTGGTTCTTGAAAGTCTGGTTCTTGATCCTGAAGTTTATCAAAACAATTTTTTTTATTCAAATCTTCGTGATCGTGTGATTGTTTTTTCGTGGCATTTCCTTTGTATTCACAAAAATTAATGCCTACAACTGTTTGTTTATCTATTGGCCTTACTTTCGAATTAGTTGAAGGATCGTTATTTTTGTAACCATCACCAATTAAGGCTTCGTCAACTTCGGTAGTTGCTTTTGCTTCATCCATCATTTTAAAACAATTCGTCTCTCCAAATTTTTTCATTAAATTTTCAACTGTAGCAGATACTTTGATCTCGGTACTCTCAGCTGCAGGAATATATTCAGCTACTACCTTTAGTTCAGAATTTGTTTTGGTCAACTCCATAACTTTATTACAATCTTCAAGATGTTCTTGATTTGTTATGATTTTATAAATATCTATCTGTAGCGGAAAAAAATATTAATCACAAAATACAAAGAAAAAATAATTTATGTGTATAATGTGAAGTTTGTGTTATATTTTAACCAAGTGTATTGCCGATTTTTGATATTTCATAACCCATTTAAAAATTTTTAATACTCACTGTGTCATCTCCAGGTCTGTTTTTTATAAAAATATGCTTAATTTCATAATTAGTGTCTGCAATATCAGCTATAACTAGTTTCTGAATATAATCGCATAACTCGTTAAAGTCATATGAGTCCAGTAAGAAATGTTGAACTCTGTCTTTTGTCGATGGAGAGTCGATTTCAAGAAACTTTGAGTGGAATATTAATAATAATGAAGTATCACTGGATATCTGTGAAAATATTATAAGTGCATTAGTATTTGAAAATGAGTATGACATTGTCAAGTAGAATTGATAAATTTGAAATTTGTTTTGAGTGTAAATAACAAAGTACTTCCTTAAAAAAATCTAGCTTTAAAAATTGCAGTTTAATAACTTAAGTAACGTTTGTAAAAAATATTCAAGTATAAAGTAAACATTTTGCTTTATGGTGTAAGAAGTTATTTTGCAATTGGCACACCACATAATAAACGCAACTTTACACAAGACGATCATCAAAAGCTACAAATATTATGCAAGTTTAAGTAACTTCAGATTACAATAAAATCATGTTTACATTCCAATATTTAAAAAATATTGAATGGTTCAAGTTTTATAAATTATGAAACTTCCTGTTACTACAAAAACAATATCGTTTGAAATGGAACATAATAATAAAAAAAGCCAGATTTTTCAACTGTTTAGAAAGATTCATATAGTGACTAATGACTAGTTTTACTAAATAGTTACAAAAGTGTTAGAATTAAAACACAGTAAGATTTTTTGCGAGACTCAAAGCTCTATCTATTATTGAAGTAAAATGACTAACAGAACTTGAGGTAAAGCTTGCTTGCAATGTTCTGTGATCAGTCACACTCTTATTATAGCACTGGATTATGAAATAAGTATTACAATTAGCAAAAACTAAAAACTTTGTTCAATATTCATAGACTTTAATGAGATATTTAAAAATTTTGACTGAAAATTTGGCTATTTGCCATAACAGTGAAATAAAAAACGAGATATCTACGCAATAGAGCAGGATGCTCATAGGCATAGCATGGTACGAAACGGAAAAGTAGTGGAGCCTGCAGCTATATTTAGACAGTCTAAACCAAGACTTGGAAAGTGGCTCTCTACACGACAATCACCCCTTCCTTTTTTCCCCGAACTATAATCTGCAAATAATAATTTATTTTTTTACAATCGTTAGAAAATGTTATGCAATTTGCCTGTATTTCAAATATACTATTGACAAGAGAAAACGAAAATCTACTTCTTACACACAAAAGTATGACATATACATTTATGTATACGTATATATAATGCATATTTGTAAAAATTAGGCAACACTTTATTTGACTTTCATTCTATGAGAATAAAAAATGTCTTCTGTTAGAAGAATGGTGGAGTATGAATAAACTTTTCATTAGGAAAAAAAAAGAGCAGACATATTTGCCCAATTTTAAGCACGATTGTTGAACAACGAAAATGAAAGTGAACAAAAGTACCTAAGTGTAAGTAAACGAGGAATCCCAATTCCCAATGATTCAAGTTTTTGAAACAGCACACACATCTCTAGAAGCCTAACCCTCGACTGTGCATATTAGGTGATGTGTATCGTGTATGTAACTACATACTCACTGCAAAATATCTTAGTAAGCTCAAATGAAGCGCAGATTTTCAACGAGGCACAAACGTTATTTCGCACTTTTGGATAACATACTCAACTGCCACAAAAATAGGTCCACCCGACTATCCAAGGGCACGAGCCGAGACTCAGGCAGAGGCTATGCCTACAACGGTGCAGCATTGACGAGGACTAATTAATCTCACGCACGATGCCCGTATAGAGCAGTGTGGGTATTCTTATTCTTATACACCAGAAAAAAAAAATAAAGAGAAACAGAGAGAGGTGGTGGTGGTGGTGGCCCAGGCGAAGGCGAAGATCGAGGCGAAAGCAGAAAGCACACGACGACGACGACGACGACGTCATGGGTAGAGAACTCGGAAGAATTATTTATTATATACCTATACTTATCACGCGGGACGTGTGGCCGGCGGGCAGCAGCAGCAGCAGCAACAGTAAAGAAATAAAAAAAAAAGAGAGAGAGAGAATACAAGGTAAGGTATGTAGGTACTGTCTCGGTCTCGGCTGAACGGCCCCCGCGCGAGGAGAGCATTACAGAAGCAGCCGTACCACTACTTCCCGACTCCGGACTTCGGAGTCTTTGGACGTTCGTAATGTTCGTATAGGACGTAGGTTTTTACTCTCCCGTTGGACCGTTGGACCGTTGGACGTGATCGTGATGACGTGTGTGACGTGCTGCCGCCTATATATATCATCAACTCTCTTTTCTTTCTTTCTCTTTCCCTCTCACGCAACACGTGATGACGTGATAGTGAGTAGTGAGTATATAATCTGCACGGTGAGTATAATATACGCTATATAAGTATGCGTGAGTGTCACGAACTTTCGTCTGCTGGTCCTTTTCTCCGCAATAATTTTACTATAGTCTCATTCTCACATATCTCACGAGTCACAATAGAAGAATATAATATATATTAGTATATCCATCTCTCTCACAATATAATTTTTTTCAATTTTCATTTTTCAATTGATACTCTTTTTTTTTTTTTCATAAAAATTTCAGGACGTATGCATAAGTGTATACATGTAACAAGTAAAGTAATTTATATAAATATAAGTAGACTGTAGGTATGTGTTAAGTTGCCTAAATTGGGATAGATTAAATCGTGAAGTAATTGATATGCAGGTTGAAGGTTGAAGTTGTGCTGCTGCTGTTAAAGGCTGTACCTATACGTGGTGTACTTACCAAAGGGTTGACCTTTTTCTCATGAGTTCCCGGCACTTCCTGCTGTGGTTTTCTCCATCTACAAGACTGCGGACAGTCGACCTGATCTTTCGCGGCTGAGAGTTTTGCAATAGAAGACCTTTCTCGAAGTCTTCGTTTAACCTTATGTGTCAAGTCCTTCGTCATACTACGAAGATATTGTTCGTTGTCGTCGTCATCAGCATCAGTTGAAGAGCTATCTCGGTCGTGCGTCTGGTTTAAGGAATCTGCTGCTGCTGACGCGGTGACGACAGCCGTACGCCGAAGTTCACTACTCATGGATATGCTGCCGCTGCAACAGCGCCGAGCACGGGGTAGGTATATACTGGACTTTTCTCCGGACTCTACAGAAGAAGGCTCGTTTGTCCAGTTGTGCGTCGTCTGCAACGTTTGCTACTTAATATCACATCACATCGCCGTCATAATAGTATATATATGTACTGCAGATGCCGATGACGATGATTTTTACTGAGATGTACTATACAATTATAAAAATACAGCTTATCAGTTATCGCCTTCTTATCGCGCTGGTTGATGATACCATAGAGCTGATAGCTGATAACAATAGGTCGACATACAGGTATTACTTTGCAGAGTACGTAAGTGTAAGTATAATTTGGGAGAGCCGAGAGTTACTGTGAATAATAGTGCACTGATCGTCTGATCCTCTCTGTGACGTCGTCGCTGCGAGGGCCATAGATGAAACTGCAATAGCTGCAAGTGCGAGGAGTGCAAGCGCAGGCAGGCGTTACCGCACCTTTTCTCGCTCATTCTTGCAAAGGCGCTATACATATCTATATTATACATATTTCATGCTATACATACATAAACAATCGCGTTCTTGCTCACTTACAACAGTGACAACTGCAGTGACATTGACCAGAGAGGTCTCCGGCCTTTGTTGATGAATCATAATCCGTTATCATGTAAAATTTGTTTGTTAATTTCACGATAAGTAGGCAATTAAGTATCTAAGCAGTTTTTTTATTGATTCTTTATTGCTAGTTTAATATCCGGAGGTATTCACACTTACAATGACGGATATGGATAGTGTGGTCGATGCGAGAGCTTCTGATTGGCTCTGCCATATAAGTGCCATTTGCCATTTTCAGGACCAACGCACACAATCCTAATCAGCCAATCACTGGCTCGGAATCTCATGTCTGTGAGCTTCATAAAAGTTGAATCTTGAGTCTTGAGTGATATACATCAACATGTCATTGTGTGAGCACTGAGCATAGAATATGTACAGTTTCTAAATAGAGTCCTGAACATGTATTATATATGACGGCCCATCTGTTTTGATTTAAAAAAATAAAGGTCCCGAATAAATCTTTGAGAACGGGGTGAATTTGATAATTTTGATTAACTAACACATTTCTAGCGCGAACGCGTCGATCAAAAAACATCTCTGGACTATTTGAGCTCTCGACCAAATATTTTATACTTTTTGAAAACAGATTACCAACAAGGAGTTTCGTCGCTGACTCCAAATCGAGGAGCAAATATTATTTCGAAGGTTCTTTAGCTTCTAAAATTTTGTTTGTCATTTTGATCTAATTTTCATGGTTAAACATTTGTAACATAATTTCGATTTTTGGTAACAAATTTTTTCAAGAATACTAATCGGATTGCTTTTATTGAATTTTGGCAAAAACTATGGGTACTTAGTTGGAAAAATATTCAATTTTTTATTTTTATTTAATTAGTGCCATATATTGTACATTACAGATTTTTTACAGGCTTCTTACTTCCTTGAACAATTTTTTTGAAGATGCCTTTAATTTATTATCATACAATAAATATAAGACAATTCTTTTGACAACATTATAAAAATAATATTAACAAAGAAAAATGTCTTTAAAAAATTTTTATTACAAAAAAAGT